GCAACTAAGCACCATGCAGCCGCTTGCTCACTCCCCTACCTTGCCCCGGTGGGATGGGGAGGAGAATTGGAAAAAAAAGGTAAAACTCATGGGCTGAGAAAAAGGCAGTTTAATAGGACAGAAGAAAAAGATAAGAATAATAATAATGATAAAAGAATATACAAAATAAGTGATGCACAATACAATTGCTCACCACCTGCTGACTGATGCTCAGCCAGTCCCCTAGCTGTGGTCACCACCCCCGGCCAACTCCGGTTCGTACCCTGAGCACGACGTTACGTGGTGGGAACGTCCCTTCGGCCGGGCTGGGCCGGGGTCCCGGCTGTGCCCCCTCCTGGCTGCTTGTGCCCCTCCCCGCCGGCCGAGCACGGGAGCTGAACAGCCCGTGACTGAGCATGAGCACCACAACTGCTCAGCAACAGCCAAACCATCGGTGTGGTATCAGCGTTACCCTCAGCCCAAATCCAAACACAGCACCGTACCAGCTATTAGGAAGAAAATTAACTCTATCCCAGCCAAAACCAAGACAGCCTCCAACGCCATTTCCCAGTTACACTGATGTGTCACATGGGTGCAATCTCTTATATTCGGGTATCTCCGTTTGCACTAGTAAGAAAGGGTGTAAACTCTCAGCAAAGGAGAAAACTATCCACTTCCAGTAAAGCATGGTCCTGACACAGAAAGCTGTGAGAGTGCTTTTGGAGCTCAGTGCTGGCTGTTGGGAAGATGCTTAGAGCTGCAGGGGGAAAAAAAAAAATGTTAAAAAAAGTCTGTTTTTCACACTTCATTGGTCCTGGGTCCAGAGGAGCGGGGTTTCATACCTTCATTATAAATAAGCTATACAGCATCTACATAGTGGAATCCATCACCAGTTTCATCCCTTGGTGGGAAGAACCTGAAGGTCAACTATGGCCAACTTTGTATTTGAAAGCTTTACCATGCCAGACATGGTAGTTAACAGTTCAAGAATCCTTCTGTTGTACTACATGTTACTTGTAGCTCAGTGCCACTCTGCTGCCTTCTTTCACGCGCAGGGATGGCCAGACCTTTTAATTTCAGAGACTGCCACAGGACATGAGTTTTCTATCCAGAAGATCATGCAGGTGCATTGTACCTATGCTCCTTTTCCTGTCTGAAAGTTTTTTCCACTGCTGGAAGCTTCCAAACTCTTCCAGTGTTTCCCCTTCATCACAAAATACAGAAGTCCTGTGCTATTCTATAGTTGTTGGAAACATTAAATCCGTCTGCAGTTTCTATGCAGGTGAGTATTCACTGCAACTTCCTACAGAAGCTCAAGTTTGGTGGCATGGCATGGCTTTCTCCTGAGGCGGGCATTAATTTTGGCGTAAGGCTTGCTGATCGCAAAATGATGTTGCCCATTGCCCCTGTAAGATATCTGCACATCAAAAATACATTTGAATAAAGAGGTTCAAGAGACAATTATTAGAGCAGCTGCAAAACATAACTAAAATGTCATGTTCCTCTCCAAGACATGGTCCAAGCCTAATGTCCAGCAGCCATCAACATGGTATTGCCTTCTGCCTTTGCCCATTAGTCTCTAGTAAAAGTACAACTGCAGGTATGTTTCCACATGAGAACCTTTACCTTCTGCCATTTCCAAACTCTATGGAAAACTAAGTGGCTGGCATCAGTTACATAAGAAAAATGAAACTTGAATTTTATGTGCAAGTACAAACTTAAATCAAGCCAACTGTTATTTGTTTTTTATTCGCTTTATAAAAAAAGTCTAGGAATACAAAGAACTTTTTGCTGAATATACAAATGACATTTTCTTTCCAGGTGTCCATAGAAATACCGGTTTATTTAAAAATAAATATAAATACCTTAATTTGGTTTTGCTAAAAAGCTCTCATATAAAAAGGATGGGGGAAAAAAAGGGTGAACTAGTTCCTCTTCAAGCTTGCTGCTTTAATTCAGTGTTGCATATGAAGCAACAAACAAAAATTCTAAGGAATGTAAAAAGTTCCTATGCCTACAAAAGCCTTAATAATACAATGAGCCGAAGAACAATGACACTGACATGAAAGGATTTTAATTTCTAAGAAATACCTGGATAAATTAAGAGTTTAGGAATATATGCATTCTGTCCTCATACGTAATGATAGGTGGTGGCACTTTGCTTTTGCGGGGCCGATTTCCAGCGGCATCGACCTACTAACCCAAAACACGCTTCCTCCCTGGGAGACTGAGCTGCAGCAGCACAGGTTAGACAGTGGGCTGGAGACGGGGCGGTAACTTCGGTCTAGGTGAAAGAGGAGAATGTGGATTTAATATTGTAGACTAAATATAATGCTACGTTTAATATACTGCTCCTGGCTCATGAGGAGAAACTGCATTCTCCACTAACTACAGTTTCTACGTAGCTTTAATGGAGAAAATTCTCCATTTAAAAAAATGGTAAAAAACATTTTTAACACCCACAGTTAATTAAGGTACAAACAAAACTGCTGCTTCTCAGGTTCTTTATCACTGCATCTTTCTTAGACTTGTATCCCAATGGTTCATCTTCTCAAATGGCATAATTTTGGCAGAGGATAAGGTCAGTGCCCTCCCAGATGGCCTATCCCTCCTGCAAACTCACAGGGATGTGCAGATGCTCAGCATCTCTGAAAGCGAGGCTTGCTATACATCTAAAACAAACGTGCAGAGCATGAATATTACAATTACCAGAAAATTAAAAAAATATGTCTGCATTCAAAGTAAAAATAAAACTGGGAAATTTCAAAACTTCCTGAGGTGCTCTTTTTGATCAATTAGAGCTTTGGTTTCATTTCAATTTAGGCATTTATTTTACAGTACAATGCAAAATATAAACCACATTGTGAACAATATAAAAGCTTTTTTTCAAGACAGGAATGCCAGAACATTTCCATTGTTTTTTCCTCAAACATATTTTTTAGCAAGTACGATTTTATGATTTTTTTTTTTTTAGCAAGTACAATTTTATGAAGGAGTTAATCTTCAGTGGAGCTGTATTCTCTGATAGACAAGGGGATGGCCTTTTTTTAATGGTAGAAATTATGTAGTCCTCTAATTTTCACATTTGAAAGTTCTGTAGTTCTACTTGAACCTTCCCAGTTTTTTTACAAAAAAATGCAAGTATGTCCTTTATCATAATTCCCAGTGGAAGTGTCTACTCATGTTAAACCATCTAACTTGGGTCCATAGTTTAAGTTGTATGTTTTTCATGTATTTGGGTATTTACACAAGTTCTGAAATAAAATAAATATTGGTGTTGATGGAAGAGAAAGCATAAATGTAATGACAGTCTACAAAATCATCACCTCTGCAGAGATGTTGAAAAAGCAAAGTTCGCTCCCATCTCACAGTAAAAGAACTGATGGCATGAAGAAGCGGTCAGATGGCAGGTTTAAAATGAGAGGGGAAAAAAAACCAGGAAGTCTTTCCACAGAAAGAATAATTAAACTGACCTCACTGTGAAAAGACACAGTGGAATCCAAGAGGGTAAGTTAAGAATGTATTGGATGAATTCATGGAAGATAGGTCTGACCGCAGGCTCTGGTCAGGAGCTCCCCAAGCCCCATGCTGGGGCGCTGGGAGGCTGTGCCAGCGCAAACTGGTTATTCTCACACCCCTCCCAAACCCTTTGGTACTGGCTGCTGTTAGCGGTACGACACTCATCGTCTTTGCGAACATCCAGCCAAGTCACAGAGATGCCAAGTTCTATAGGCAACAGGATAGAAGCACGCTCCTAGCTCTCCATACAGAAGTCTGGGAACACACGCCGAACTATACACAGCTGGGAATCCAGATATACATTCAGCCTGAAAAAGCTGGCTACAGAGATCAGGAAATTAAAAGGTAAGCGTCTCACAATAGGGTTTTTTAGGCATCTTCCTCAAAAAGGTACTGTGCTAGATACTTCTTCTTAATATGCATTTTTGTTAATAATCTGTTCAATCTAAACTATAAAACGTGCTGTGCAACATGACTGAACGAATATTGCTGTGAGAAATATTTTCCCCTTGTTCGAGTAATTTAAATTTGTAAGCTAATGTAAGTTTTTGTATTAAATAATGTACTGTGTGCAATTTTCTTTCTTGTAAAGCACTTTGAAGCTTTCAAAGGGCACTCTAGGTTAATAAATAATATGGCATTCTTTGCCAGAACTGTAGGGCATTTCCCATAAGTTCTGAATCTTCTTTGCCAGAATTGCAGCTCGTTGCATGCCAAATCCTGCACACAAACGTTCTACATGTGGCAAATACATACTGGTAAAGACCAGAGGCA